ACTTAGCAGTTTCACTAAATTGTATCTAGGTGTATCTCTTTGTGTTTTTTTTTATTAAAGATTTTTATTTATTTATTTATTTAACAGAGAGAGAGAGAACACAGCAGGGGAGGGGGAGAGAGAGAAGCAGGCTCCCCGCGGAGCAGGGAACCTGATGCGGGGCTCGGTCCTAGGACCCTGGGACCACGACCTGAGCCGAAGGCAGACGCTTAACGACTGAGCCACCCAGGCGCCCCCTCTTTGTGTTTTTACTTTGAGTTTCTTGAACTTCTTGGAGCTATGGATTAATGTTTTCATCAAATTTGAGAAGCTTTTTACCAATTACTTTTTGAAATATCGTTGGTTGAAAAGTATACATTTTATTTTATTTATTTTTCAAAACTGTATGTTTTAGTTAATAGATTATAACAATTCTGGGTTCTGTTTTATTTATATTTGTTTGTTAGTTTATTTACTGAGGGCTGTTTATTTTTTAGAAGGTTGCCTGTACTGTAATTGTGAAGTCAGTCTAGTCTCCTTTGTGTTATACAGCTGCTGATGTCTCTGCTAAGTTTTTTAATTTTTATTTTTTAGGCTGGCTTCCTTAGGAGTCTTTCCTATGTCTGCATAACTTAATTGTAAACTAATGATATGGGCAGAAGCGGTAGAGGCTCCCACCCTTTGCTGATCAGTCTATGTGTAGGTTTAGAATACATTCAAAGTTGGAGCCAGTTTTCAACCCTTCTTCCTTGGTTTCTTAATCTCTACACCCAACGTGCGGCTCAAACTCATAACCCTGAGATCAAGAGTCACATGCTCTACTGACTGAGCCAGTCAGGTGCCCCGCCCTGGCTTCATTTTATGCCAAGCTTCCTCAGGTCTCCCCAACAAACACATAGCTTTCTGTTTAGCCAGAGTTGTATGGTAAGCTTATCATAGACCTTCTATGGTTTTCTCATTTACATGATCTTTCTGTTAATGTTCTGACTAGTGAGGCACTCACCTTAACCAGGACTTCAACTTCAGACCCCAACTTTAAATTTTCCCTGTTCATTCCCAACCAAGTCTATCACTTTTATCCACCAAAACCATGGGTTTTCACCTCTCCCTCTCCCTGAAATGCATTCACCCTTTTTGCGAACAAAGCTGTTGGGTTCTTTTTGCTAGTTTCATCTTGGCAGAACTGCCAGTCTGGTTATTGAAGCTGGCATTGGGTGGTTGGGAGTAACCCCAGGCAGAAGGGCACAGCATCCCACTGTTCTTGCCTATAACTTTAGCATTTATTCTAGAACAAACACTTCTCAATTTGCAGGCTGTCTTTGCTTAGTTTCCAGTGTTCTGAAGTGGTTCTTTTTGATAGATTTGTCCAGCTTTATACTTGATATTTGTGTATGGAAATTGCCAACCCCTTCATGCCTCTATAAAACTTGTACATTCTTTTTTGCAGGTGAATTTTACATTTACTTATCAAGCTCCCTAAGAAGTTCTCCTGGTATTTTGATTAGATCTACATTGACTTTATAAGTTAATTTTCAGAATATCAATATATTTACATTATTGAGATTTCCCTCCAGGAACATGGCATTTATCCCCATTTATTTGGACTTACCCCTCAGCAAAATTATTATTATTATTATTTTATTTTTATATTTTGAGAGAGAGAGAGAGAGAGAGCACGTGCACTCAAGTGGGGCGGGGGGCAAAGGGAAAGGGAGGAAGAGAGAATCTTAAGCAGGCTCCACACCCCATGCCGCTCAATCTCATGACCCTGAGATCATGACCTGAACCGAAATCAAGAGTTGGATGCTTAACCGACTGAGCCACCCAGGTGCCCCCTCAGCAAAATTACTTAATATACATCTAGGACTTACTCATATTTTGCTAAGCTTATTCTTAGCATTTTAAAAGGTTTTTTTGATCAATTACTAATGAAATGATTTTTTCCATTTTTCTAATTGTTTATTGCCAGTTTGTAGGAAGGTAAGTTTTTTTGAGTTCATATAAAGTTGATCTTGTATGTGATTGCCTTGCTAAACTTACTTTTATAATAGTTCTAATAGTTTGTCAGTTTGTTATTTTGGTTCTTTTAGGTAATCTACCATATTATTTGCAAATAATAACAATTTTATTTCCTTATAATCTGTATTTATATTTATTTTAAAAATAAATATACTAATATATAAAATTTTATTATATAAAAAATTCTATTTACTTAAAAAATTCTATTGTATAGGTTATGATCTCTAGGAAAATAATAAAATATTAAGTATACTGGCTTTAGTGACTTTGTTAGAAATATTTCTAATACTTCACCTTGAAGTGTGACATTGTAGGAGTCCTTTTATTAAGCTGAAATCTTTCTTTTATTCCTAGTATCAACTGGTGTTTTGGCATGTACTAAGATCATATTGTTTTTCTCTTTTGATTTCCTAATATCGTAAATAAGAAATGTGCTACTTGATCAAGATGTATTATAATTTTAATATTTCCCTCAATTCAGTTTGCTAATATTTTATTTATGATTTGTAAATGTAATTCATAATAGAGATTGGCTTATAAAGAACATTGCCTTAATAAACCAGGCATTCATTCCAAATTAAAAGAAATACAGATTTCCCCTTCTTCAGGAATTTGGTTCAGGACCTGTTCTTATCCTCCTATTATTTACACTTCCTGTCTATATTAAATTAATACTCCATATTAAATGGCATCCTTCTTTTTTTAGTGGTAGCAAGTACTTAAAATCCCATTTCTTCATATGTGATGATTGTTTTTCTAGCTTTCTGAGTTTTTCTGTTACTATACAGTCCTCCTTTAAGTGCTATGTTTCACATATTGTATTTTTTTTAATAAAAGAATTTCAAGGATTGTTTCGCATTTGTCTGTCTTTCTCTTTGATATATTTAGTCTCTTCCTTTTATTATAAGGACTTTTGTGGTATTCTTCATGTTTTTCTCTTCATTCTTGTCTCTTTGTCACCTATTCTATGAAGTCTTTTTTGGTCTCTCCTCTTTCCCCTTACTCCCTGAAGAGTTAGACTTTTTTTGTTTCTTATATAGCTTATTATAAATTATGTGTGTGTGTGTATGTATGTGTGTATATATACATATATATATATATATATATATATATATAGTTCTCTTAATTACATCTTTACTATAATAACCTAATTTTCCTGTTACTTTTTGGTGTAAGGACAGTCTCATTTTTAGTAACTAAGACTTAGTCTTACACACTTTTAAAAACTTTTCAAAATTCACTCCACTTGTAGGGATTATGATGGATTGAGGGTGTTCTGACTCCACATACTTTCCCCTTCGTCCATGCGTTGGGGCAGAGAGGAAGCAGGAAAAAAGGCAAACATATCATTAAACTGGGTGAAGTTGTCATCTCCTTTTAGGTTGTGGCTGCCTCTGGCTAACGCTGACTGGTCATCATGCCCTGTTGTCAGGCATTTAATGACTGGCTCATTGCCACAGATTCTTCTGGCCCAACCTATTGGCAGCTTACTGGCAACTCTCTGAACTTAGAATATGTAAAAATTACTATCTTTTGTGCTTAGTTTAGGCCTTATGTGCAATTCTGGGACTGTCGGAAACTCGTGTTCAGTAATCTGTGAAATTTATTTTAAAGTCAGTGTTCCACAGTCCAATAGGAAAATAACAAACTGTCTTCCAGAAGAGGGTATTAGGTCATGCAGATATTACAGAACACCTTTTCAGTGTAGTTTCATACCTGTGTTTATTCTGTATCCTGAAATAATTCAGCTTCTAGGAAACTTCGTCCCAACGTGTTATTCTAGAGCTGTGCCAAATGTACTACTTAAATGTAAACTATTTAAGTTTACATTAATGAAACACAAATAAAATAAAAATTTAGTTTTTCAGTCGCATCAGCCACATTGTAAGTGCTTACTGAGCCACATGTGGCGAGTGGCTGCTGTACTGAATGGCACAAAACATTGTCATCATGTTCTGTTAGACAAGTTCTGTTAGACACGGCTTCTCTGGACATAGAGATGAGAATTTTTGTTCTCCAGAGGATAGAGGTGACATATTTTTGTCACCATAGGAAAGTCAGATACATAGTCAATCATATACACCAACCAGTTACTCTTTCACAGGGTTTTTCTTCCTTGCCCATGTGCAGGAAGTTTGTGAAAGGGAGAGAAAGTTAGCACACTCCTGTACAATGTACGGCTTTCAAATTCATCTGATAATCAGCTTTTCTTGTGGAAGCTTCAAATACCTGCTATTGCAAATGCAGTTGGCAGCAGCGTTCAAAGTTCAAACCCACCAGAGACAAACTTCCTAGTTCGTCCTTCCCGTTTCCTTTCTTACTGTTCCCTCATTCCATAAGGTGAAGATTGGCACAACTTCAGTCCCAAGACAAGAGAAGATTGGCATAAGTAGAAAGGCAAATATGTGTGCGTGCATTTGTGCGTGTGTGTGTAAATTTTGGGAGAAGTGACTTGATTTTTATATTTTTAAAAGATTTTATTTATTTATTTGACAGAGAGAGACACAGAGAGAGAGGGAACACAAGCAGGGGGAGTGGGAGAGGGAGAAGCAGGCTTCCCGTGGAGCAGGGAGCCCGATGCGGAACTCGATCCCAGGACCCTGGGACCATGACCTGAGCCGAAGGCAGACGCTTAATGACTGAGCCACCCAGGCGCCCCAAAGTGACTTGGTTTTTAGAAAAATATTTTTTTTTTTACCAAGCCCTTAGATATCATTTAACTGAATGCCTGTCCCCATTTTACATGTGAGTAAACTGAGGTTAGAGAAAATGATTGCTCAAGATTGTATTAATAATTAATGGTAAATCTGGAACTAAAACCTGTATTCCATGACATCCTAAATCATTTACCATTCCCGTTTTAATTTTTTATTCACTACTACTACTGCTGCTGCAGATACAATGATAAGAGTTTATAATAATAATTAATTATAATGAATTTCTTATTTTTAAAATGTTGGTTTTTGTATGTTTTAAGGTTTTGGTAATTGTAATTTTTACAGATTGAAGAAGAGGAGAGGAAAAAAATAGAAGATATGAAAGAAAATGAACGACTAAAAGCAACTAAAGAATTGGAAGCCTGGAAAGAATGTCAAAGAAAAGCTGAAGAACAAAAAGGAATTCAGAGAGAAGAGAAATTCTGTGAACAAGGAAAGCAAATTGAAGAAGAGAGAAACAAATTAAAACATAAAAGCCTTACTAGAATTGCAGCATCTAGAAATCTTGCCACAAAAGGTACAATCATTACTTTAATATTTTCTGGGAAAGTGAGTCCATTTGGTGAAGTAGACATGTCACTTTTTTTTTTTTTTTCGTAATCTATTTATAGTATTAGGTCATTATTTTGGTATGTTGAGAATAAGTACTACAGTATAGAGGCTAAGGTGAAAGATTTATTTCTTCTCTTAGGAAACAATGACATTTTCAAAATACAGTGAGCAATGATTCAGATCCCAGGGTCCTGGGATTGAGTCCTGTATCGGGCTCCTTGCTCACAGGGAGCCTGCTTCTCCCTCTGCCTGCCGCTCCCCCTGCTTGTGCTCTCGCTCTCTCTGACAAATAAATAAAAAAATATTAAAAAAAAAAAAGACATTTTCCTCACATGACTCAGGAACATGAGTACTATTACACAAACTTAGTTGTAAGCAAATAGGGGCTCATCTGGCCTTTGATCCTGATGTGTTCAGAAATAGGTAAAAGAACATATTTCTTTATTGAAAGCTAAGAGTTTGATTTTATCTGATTTTAGAATATTAAACTTTGTTTTAGGCATATTTAGTATATTTAGGAATGGAACATTTTTTTGTAAAATCCCTTATGTAGTAATAATAATTAACATTTATTAGGTGATTTTCCTATGCCAGGCGATTTTATTGGTTGTATCACTCAGTCATCACAACAACACTTTGGGATAAGTACTGCTATTCTTATTTTAGTGGAAATAGATATTCAGAAAAGATAAACAACTACCCAATAAGTAAACCTGTGGGATTTGAACCCACATCTATCTGCATCTGAAACCTATGCTCTAGGTTATATGTCTTTACTACTTTAAGTGAGATCTAGTGTGTTGGAAAGTCAATAAATGAACCTATGAGTTAGGAACCATGATTATCCCCATTTTCCAGGAGAGGAAAGGCACAGAGAGTCTTACTAGCCCAAGGTAACACTGCTAATAAATGGCAGAGTCAGAATTTGGACGTGGGTGATCAGGCTCTAGAGTAGGTGACCACTGCTGTGGTGTATTGCTACACGGGTAAGACAGGCAGATTAACCATGTTCATTATTTAATTCATAACATATTTTAGCCGACTCTGTATTAAGGACATGTTTTCACTCAGAAATGTGTTAGGGAAAAAGTACTCAAAGTATATAGTCCTGGTTTGGAAAAATACTACCTTTTAAATGTTTGTTATCAAGTATCCCAAAGCCTTACAGTATCTTTCAAGAGTGACTCAGTTTGTGCTTAACCAAAATATTACTAATGATGAAATAGCAAAACCTCAGAAGTTTTAATTACCAGTCCCATAATAAAAGGCACACCACACTAATTTTATCTCTTAATGTGAAGCTGGGAGTCAAGGCTATGACACAATTACTTTGCAGGGCAGAGGAGTTAAATGTGGTGTGAGCTCCATACTCCTCTAGACCTAGAACTTAAATATAGAATGGTGTCATTTTGATGAAAACTGCTTAATATTTTATATTAAGGTGATTTTATAAGTAAAAAATTTTGATAAGATTTTATGTGATTTTAAAAATCAACTTAGATGTTTGGAATTTGGATTATTGTACTCTTATTCTTTGGCACATCAACAAGTAAGACTATAATTTATAATATGAGTATATATAGTATATTAGATAAGCCACTTTTTATATACAGAATACAAATGGTGTGGCAGGTGCTGCAGATTTCCTACTCAATATATATTCTCCCTTTCTTTTTTATGAACAGAATCATGGTTTGAGGGAGGGGACAGAAGAAATGTGTTCAGCTAAAAACCTTGCCTCTTAGAAATTTAAATACCAATTGGATATTTCAAGAAATTAAAGAATAATTACATTTTTTCCTTCTAGATGTGATAATGTAATTATAGTTAGATTTAGAAAGCCCTTATCTCATAGGGATACCTACTGAAATATTTATGGATGAAAATATATGATGTCTGAGATTTGCTTCAAAATAATATGGTATGTGAAAGTAGATAGAAGTAAAGATGAAGTGATATTGGCCAGGAGTTGATAATTGAAGGCAGGTTATGAATGCATGATGGTTAATTATTCTATTATGTCTACTTTTATATATGTTTAAAATTTTTTATTATAAAGAGAAAAAATAAGGAACACATTGAAAAAGCACATTGAATTATTTTTACAAAATCATTTTAAATTAGTAAAAAACAAAACAAAACAAAGCAAAACTCACTTCCCCAAACTCTCTTGTAACTAGATGTAGCCCAAGTGACAAATTCTGACTGATAAAATGCAAGAAGAAATCTGCTAAAGATTTATAGAAAAGTATTACTCCTTTCTGCTTGCTTCTCCTTTCCTTTTCCTACCTAAGATGAAGGTCTGTACCAAAAAGTTCATTAGCTATTTTAAAACCACAAAGAGGCAAGACATACACTAAGAATGATGGAATAGGAAAGAAGAAGGAGTTTGGGACATTAATGACTTTGGAAAGATGGTACCTCTGCATTGAACCACCTTCTTTCAAGCTTATTAAGTGAGAAAATAAACCCATCCTTGGTTAAACAACTATAGTCATACTTTCTCTTCACACAGCCTAGAGAATTTTTGACTGCTAAAAATGGATAATGGAATGCAAGGTTGGTTTAGCATTTGAAAATCATTCAATGTAATTAACTGTACTAACAGAATAAAGGAAAAAACATATGATCATTTCACTATTGCAGAAGGTATTTGATAAAACCCAACACCCATTTATAAAAATAATTTCTCAACAAATTAGGAATAGAAAGGTACTTTCTTATTCTGATGAGGTCCTTCTACAAAAAAATGTGTAGTAAGCTTCATATTTATTGGTCAGTTGATGAATGCTTTGCCTTGCCCTGTATCTCCAGGAGGTAGGCAAGTATTTCACTTTCACTGTTTCAGTTCAACATTATACTGGAGGCCCCAACCATTACATTAAGACAAGAAGAAGAAATGAGAGGCATAAAGATTCGACAGGAAGAAGTAAAGCTGTATTTGTAGATGACATGATTGTGTATGTGGAAATCCCTAAGAAATCTGAAAAATAACTGCTAGAACTAATAACTGAATTGAGCAAGGTCTCATAAAGATTATAAAAGTCACTTAAAATTTTATTTGCCAGCAGCAAACAATTGGAAAATTAAATTTTAATTTATTTGTAATAGCACTAAAAGAGAAAATATTTAGGAATAAATTTAACAAAAGATATGTAAGACCACATCACTGAAAACTATAGAAAAATTGCTGAGAGATATTTTAAAGTCTTAAATAAATGCAGTGATATAACATGTTCCTGAGTTGGAAATCTCAATATTGATAGGAGGTTAGTTCTTTTTTTTTTTTTATTTTATTGTGTTATGTTAATCACCATCCATTACATCATTAGTTTTTGATGTGGTGTTCCATGATTCATTGTTTGCATATAAACAGTGCTCCATTTAGTACGTGCCCTCTTTAATACCCATCACCAGGCTAACCCATCCCCCCACCCCCCTCCCCTCTAGAACTCTGTTTCTCAGGGTCCATAGTCTCTCATGGTTCTTCTCCCCCTCCGATGTCCCCCACCTCCTTGATAGGATGTTAGTTCTTAAATTAATCTATCGATTCAGTGCAATTCCATTAGAAATCCTGGTAAGCTTTTTGTATAAATTGACAAGTTGGTTCTAAAATTTATATGAGAATGTGAATGACCTAGGATAGCCAAAGGAACTTTTAAAAATAAGAGCAAAGATGTAAGACTCATACTATCTGATTTGAAGACTTAGCATCAAGCTACCGTAATAAAGACAAGATGGAATTGGTGAAAGGACAAACCTTAAGTTCAAAACAACAGAGTACAGGGACTAGAAATGGATCTACACAAGTATGGTTTAGTGATTTTAATGAAAGGTAACAAGGCAATTCAATGGGGAAAGGAACGTCTGGAACAGATCTGGATATATTTATGGAAACAAATAAAGGTAGACTCTTGCCTCACTGTGTACATAATACATACGTAAGAAGACAATCCAATAAACAATTGGATGAAAGATTTGAATGGACTTGTCACAGAGGAAGACACGAATGGCCACTAGGCACATGAGAAGATGTTCAACATTATTCGTTAGTAGGGAAATGCAAATTAAAACCACAGTGAGATACAGTACATAGTACATATGCTTTAAAATGACTAAAACTGGATGCCTGGATGGCTCAGTCAATTAAGCGTCTGCCTTCGGCCCAGGTCATGATCCAGGGTCCCAGGGTCAAGTCCCGGATCGGGCTCCTTGCTCAGTTGGGAGCCTGCTTCTCCCTCTGCCTGCTGCTCACTTTGCTTGTGCTCTCTCTCTCTCTGACAAATAAATAAGTAAAATCCTTAAAAAAAAATAAAATGACTAAAACAGAAAACTAAAGACCATCAACACAAGTGTGGTTGAGGATATGCTGCAACTAGAGCTCTTGTACACTGGTGGTAGAAATGTAAAATGGCACAATACTAGAAGAGCATTTGGCTCTTTCCTTAAAAGTTAAGTATACATTTATCGTATAACTCAGTCATTTTTGTCTTCAGTATTTACACAAGAGAGATGTATTCACCTGAAGACTTGTATTCAAATATTTATGGCAACTTTATTCACAATGGTGAATAACTGGAAATGATGCCCATCACTAGAGGAGTGAATAAACAAATTCTCATACATTCATAAAGTGACCACAACAGTCCATCCTGCATGAAATTAGAGAAAATACTAACCATTTTACAATGACTGAGAGTGCATCAGTGCTTATCTGGGGCCAGAGGTAAAAGGATGAACTTCAAGTGGCTATAGGGGACTCTTAGAAGTGATAGAAATTTTCTGTTTTCATTATGATTATGATTTCATGGGTGCATGCATCTGTCAGGACTCAATGAATTAATGTACTTTAAAATGTGTACAGTTTAGTTTTTTTAAAGATTTATTTGAGAGAGAGAGAGCACAAACACACGCACATGTGGGAGTGCTGGGGGAGGGGCAGAGAGGGAGAGGAAGAAGATCTCA